CCCAACGTTTCGACCCGACTTTGAAGACCGGCATGTCTTCTTCAGGGCTAGAACGGACAAGATACAAAAATTCATAGAAAATTGTGGAACTTACTTAATATTTAGACAAAATAATATAAACAATGTGAATAAGCTTATTAAAATTATAATCAGTAAGTACATTAAAATATAAACTGATTGAGCAAAGTAACAAGATCCTAAACTAAAGTAAATTGATGGTAACAATTGTTCTAGTGTAATATGTAATATATGCAAATTTTTTTATTTATTATTTCTTATTGATATTTACAACTGTATTAAATAAATACATCAAGTAAATATGAACATAATGGATATAATGACATGAAAACACTTGCTGAGTAACTACCCAATGGTAGCACTCTAATGATATGTCTACATTAGGAGATCACGGGGCCATCTTCTTTTCAGACGCCTCGGAGGGTTATCAGGAATTGAAGAGGAAGCAAGGTTAGAAACGAGAGGGTTGGGATGATTCTGAAGTTTATTATGGAAGGATAGGTATCTGGATTGGGCCAGATCTGAAACAAAAGAAACATTAAGGTCATTATGGATGGTTTTATTTGTAACAAAGTAGGGAGCATTGAGGATTTTACGAAGGATTTTGGATTGTAAGGATTGGATACGAGAGGAATTCGATGGTTTAGTGGAGCCCCATAGCTCAACTCCGTAAGTCCAAATAGGCCTTATTATAGTCAAGTATATGAGTCTTTTGTAATTAATTGGAAGTTTAGAGCGTTTGTCTAGTAAGTGCTGAAGTAATCGGAAACGTCGAGCGGTTTCTTGTCGTTTCAGTCTAGTATGAGGATTCCAAGTTAGTCGTTTGTCCAGGTGGAGTCCTTGGTATCGGATTTGCTCAACAGGGATAAGTGGAGTATTGTTAATGGAAACCGTTGGACAGGAAGTCATTGGTTTACGACGAAGGATAAAGGTAATTTGGTGGGATTTATTGGAGTTTATTTTAATTCTCCAGTTTTGACACCATTCTTCAAGATTTATGATGTGTGATTGAAGCATTTGAGATGCAATTGATGGTTCACTATTTACTGATAGGATACATATGGCATCGGCATATGTGGTGATGACAGTGTTGGGATAGGTAGGGATGTCAGCTGTATAAACTGTAGAGAGGATAGGACCTAGGATACTACCTTGAGGAACACAAGCGAACTGGGAAAATATACTTCTACAGATCTACAGGGGAGATTGAAAGAAGGATATAATATAAAGTAATAGACATGAAGGAATGTAGAAAAAGAAAAGAAAACCAAAAAATAAATAAATAAGTAAAAAAAATTAGAAGAATAGAAACAGAAACTTACAGGAGTGTTCAGCTAGCAGTTTCACATAGAACTGGAAAATCAGGGTAAGGATAGGTATTTTCCCAATACCTACCCTTACCCATTCCCTGATTTTATTATTCTCTGACTATCCAGCTTTGATAAAAGACCAACTATGACGAAATTAAGCCAAATGCTGATTCTCAGTGACAAAAAAACTAACAAAAGTCAATGTCGTCAGTCCGCCATGTTTGGATTCCATTTTGGGGTAGTGCCTTCACTTTTTGGCTTTTTTATAATAAATAGTTACAAAGACCACAACGATATGTAATTTACAGGAATGTAAGGGGAGGAGGGGTGTACGGTAGGGGATCTAAGGTGAATCTCAAAATTTTTCTTAATAAAACTCAACTTCATTAACATGAACTTAAAGCTTATTTAACTTGTTAACCGAGAAAGTTTTTTCAAAAGTGGGGTAAATGTAGTACAGTTGAAGAGTGATGAAATAAAATCACAAATAATTTATGACTTTTTTTTAGACGGAACTTAGTTGTGTATGTCTGCTCAATCGTCCTTTTTAGATAGTTTTAAGAACGACAAACTCTACTTTTGTTTAGATTAAATTTTATCTGGTATACTATGGAGCAATGTTTAATTACTTCAACCAAATATTCTTAAGTTATCGCTTCCCGTACAACAAAAAAGTGATTCGCTTAAAAAAATGGAAATCTTAAATTTCCTACTTTCCTGCCTGAAATTAGACAATTGTTTATATTAAGTTTTTTGTAGATCTTGATGTCTACTATCAACCTATTAAATATTTCCCTCTATTTACGAGACAACCTGTATATATATATATTAATAATGTATAAGGAAATGTTAAGAAATTGGAACATTACCATTGTTTTTGATGAGAGACTTACAAGAAATGATGGTTACCGGACACTAGTTGAAAACATCGATTAGGTCTTAAGTATTCATTCATTGTAAACATGAAGGTCATAGAACTAGCAAAATTTATTCATTAACTACGACTCAAGGTCTAATTGTTTAACTGTCGTATCAGTTCTAAATGATCTACATTTTTTAAAATTTTAATATAAAAATGTACCGCAGATTTTTTTATTATTTATTTCGTTTTCAGTTTCTAAAGATATTTCTTTCTGCTTTCTCACAACTGAAGGTTATTATGCTTTGTATTAGTGCGAGAGGTTAAAAATATTTTTAAGCTCAGGATCGAAAATTTCCACTCGCGTTGCATGTTTTAGATCAAATTTGGTTCGGTGTATGTCTGCCTGCCTTGAAATTTGTAGTGAAATCGAGTCTAAACGATCCCATATCAATTTTCATAAAGTACATATGATTACGCACGTGCAAACATATTTCAGGCATGTTCGATTCAAAGTCGGATAAAAGTTAGGTATTGGTAAAAAAAAATGATACCGTTTCAATTTTATTTAATTATATCCACTTAAATATGCGCCAAATATATTATCCTTGATAAGCCAACATTTGAAAAACCGCACGTTCAATTTGGACTAAAGTTAGAGGTGTTAGGGCATGATAAATAAATGACCAAGTAGGTTTCAATTTCATCGAATTCTATCCAAAACTGTAATAAAATGCTTCCGCTTTTAGATTTGCAAAGTTATCGCTTTTGATTCTCATATTTTGAAAACGGATTTAACCCAAACTTTGAGAAAATGTGGAAATGAGTATAAAAACGGCCTAGAATCAGTTACATTAAATTAAAAACCAAAGTAAACACTGGTACAAAAACTCTAGTTTTTAAATAAAAATAAAGGAAAAATAGTTACTAATACTTGACAATTTTAGTTACTATATATAAAGAATTGGTATGACCAATATACTTTTGCATTTCATTCAGGCTTAGTTAGGTTTCTCCTATCCAAAAAAATTACAGTAATATCTCTATATTAATAAGCTAATAGGTAACTGAAAGACTCATGCGCAAGAAATCAGAACACTAGTTATCAAGTATCGACGAGGAAGCAAGGTTTGAAACGAGAGATTTCGGATGGTTTTGAAGTTGAATATGGAAAGATAGGAATCTGGATTGGGTTAAATCGGAAACATATGTTACATTATGGTCTTTATGAATGAATTTATTTGTGATAAAGGAAGGAACATTGAGGATTTTATGAAGGATTTTGTATTATAAGGACTGGATACGAGAGGAAATCGATGGTTTAGTGTAGTTCCAAAGCTCGTTTTCGTAAGTCTAAATGGGCCTTAATATAGTCATGTATGAGTCTTTTGTAATATATTGAAAGTTTAAAGCATTTGTCTAGTAAGTGCTGGAGTGCATGTAAATTAAAAATTTGATATAGAGACAATTAGTCATTGTCCAAAAAAACCTAATGTTTCACTTCATGTTTGGAGATAAAGATTAGGCACTCTAAGAAAAAGCTTTCTTGATCACCCTCAATTTGATATAGATTTTTAGCAAAAAGAAACTAAAAAGAGTACATAGTTAACCTAAACTCAGAACTATAAGAAAAAAAAAATCCATGAGTTGGTTTCCTCTTGGATGATTAGTTTCCCAATTAACTATCTTTTGCTGCCTTACAAAAATCAGAAATGTAAGAAAAAGAAATGCTAACACTTTTTTAAGAATCCAAGTCTAGTCAGAAGTCTAGGTAAACTGTTATCATCAACATTTTTCTTTTTTAAGCCTGGTGGAAATTGAACTTCAAACACTTGTCACGTTGACTGCAATACGTATATTCATGTACACGGAATATGTAAATAAAAAATTAATTCTTTTTTCATGATTGTTAATTAGAAACAAAGACAAATTTTAATTTCGTCTTTATTTTATTTTACTTTCTTCTTCCCATGGCTCTCGGCAATATAGATTTTTAGTAGAAGCAGTTGATACTTCTACCACTTATCTTCTGGTTCTTCGGTCTTCATTAGAGGAGGTTGAAGTGATCATCCCCCACTAATTCCTTCCACCTTTACAGGAATGCTTCTTAGTACGGGTAGTTATACTTACTTAGTAGCTGAGGGAAATCATCCTCTGTGATGATGTAAAGTCCGGTTTCCCTCAGTAGTTTGTGCTTTATTGCTTCAAAACCGGTGCAAGTCGTGACGATATACTCCGCAGTTTCCGGAACATCACAACAGGTTTTAATTTTAACAGAAATATTTTAATTGGGTCTAAAGAAATATCATGGATTCAATCCTACATACAACTGAAAATGATAATGCATATAGTAATGATATTCTGTCTATGCTTTTAATGTCTTATACGAATATTATAAGAATACCAGAAAATTATAAGAAAATAAATTGAGGAAAGTAATTATTATAATGATATTATACATGAGATTTAAATTTCAACTGTCAACAAATCAATTAATGACTTTAACAATAAAAAATTAGTTTGCATGACTGGAAAAAATTTCATGATCAATAACATGGTATCCAGGTTTCTGATTCGCTGGATTCCATATTTGCAACTCTATGGTTCAGAAGGCTAGATTTGCTTTAATAATATACGTTTTTCACGTCGCCGGCTTTCGCGCTCTGATCATCAACGAACCCATGTTCAACACAGGTTAACAAGACATCAAAAAGTAATAAAACAGATAATAAATAATAGATAATAGACAATAAAAGAGAGACTATAAAGCAGAGAGGAGATAAGGCACCCTCTGGAAGGCTAGGGGAGGGTGCCAGCAATATCTTGGAGGGGAGCTCTCGGCGAGCTCAGTCGGTGTCGGGCCTTCGGGGAAGGATGGGACGGTCTGTCTTAGCGATATCATCCTGTCTTCTCGCGATCGTACTCGTAGGTCGCTCTGACCAAAGGTTAGTCTCAACTCCTATATGTAGCAAATATTATGGATTATCAGTGTGACGAAAAGTGAGAACAAAAAAAATATATACATATATATATATCGAACACTTCGACAAGATTGGTTGAACGTTTAATGTGAAAAAAAATTGTAATATAATTTTTTTAAAAATAATTTTAAGTAATATAAATCTGAAGATGGATTTCATTCAATTTTTTTTTAAAAATAATTCAGGAATTCAAACATCATAAAAAAAAAAATAAATGTTTTTAATTAAAAGTGAATAAAATAAAGATGTTACATTATAACTATATATATTACTAAAAAATATGTCTTAAAATTTCCAAGCATTTTAAGTGACATAAATCTGGAGATGAATTTCATTCTAACAAAATTTTAAAAATAAATCGGGAATTCAAAGTTTATATTAAAAAAAAAAATTGAAAACCTTTTTAATAAAAAGTTAATCAGATAAATATATTGTATATAACTATATATTTTTTTAAAAATACGCAATGAAATTTACAACCATATTCAATAAAACACAACTATATATATGTAATATACATATATATATATATATATATATATATATATATATATATATATATATATATATATAACCAAAATAATGACGTGAAGAGATTTGTTTAAAAACTTACCAATGGTAACAAACTATTAAATATCGATTTCAGCACTAGTTTTAATTATTTTAATTTACATAATATATAATTTATATTTAAAAAATATCATTTTTCTAATTTCAAGTATGACAAAAAGCATCGTAATTAATCAGAAATAACTGATAAAATCGATATTTTAATACAAGTTAAAGTTACGGAATAAATTTAGAATTTATTTTTTTATAAATTAAATTAAAACTCGTTAGTCATATTTTCAATACTATAAAACATTTACTAGAAGACAAAATGGTTCAAAGTTAATAAACCCATGAATCAAATAAAAGCTATATAGATTAACTTAATTTTAACTTTTAAATCCTATTTAAATCGAAAATTAGTTTGTCGATATTCTTTTTCTTAATATACTATAATAACGTCAGGGCATAATATTTTTTTATAATTATTATTTATTCATTCAAACTTAAAATTATTGCAATACCGATTCAATTTTCTTTTCTTATCTCCCGTAATTTTATTTTAAGTATTTACATATATTTAAGTATAATATGTTACCAATAACTATTATAATATTACGATTAGTATAATACCATTTCAATTCAAGAACAAGCAACTTTTTCATAAGAAAGTAACATGTAAGAATAACACTATATTTTGTGTTTTATATTAGTAATATAATGTCATTAAATTAAAATAGTAGTTCAAATAATAAATATTTTTATCTAAATATATCAACATAGTCCGCTTCTAAAATTTCCGAATTGATAGCTGATTAATACTAGTTGGCAGCAATTTCGGACAGAGAAAGTAACCGGGAGTTATTAATGAATATCTGCAAATACTCGTTAATAATTAATAATGCTTCAGAGATACATGTAATAATTAATAAACCTACATTTTTTTATCACATACTATGAATATGTATTTGATATTTTGTTCTGAAATAAAGGAGATAAAATGAATAATTTTTAAGAACTCAGAACTCTTAAATAGCAACAATTATTTATTGTTGTAATAAAAAAACGACGACGGTAGCAGACAAACGGGAATTGCAACACTGCCAACTGGATCCGAGGTGGTCTGATCTGATTGGTTAGACATCACCAGATGCGGCCAGAAGACCGGGAACAGGCCAATCAGGGAGCGCCTAGGATCTTTCGATACTGAATCTTTTTTTATTTCAGGGAAGCAAGACCATCCCGCTGTCCTTCGTTCGAGGAAAGGATGCGCGATAAAGTACTGAATCCAAAAATAGAACCGTTTTGCGTGAACTCCCTCTATTTTCGCGAATACTCACACGTCTGTTCCCGGTAGCGGCATGAAGAGATAGCGCTCAATGGAATTCTTCATAGACGTAAGCATCGCCAATTCGTGAATCAGGCACTCACTACCAGTGATAGAGATAAAACTGTTTGTCAAAGGTGATAGTATGAATTTAAATACCGTAGCTATTCTTGCTGTCTGTTATAAATAAAGCGTTAATCATCATAATAATAAAATTTACAATATTATTCTTAAAGTTGTTTTTAGTAATGATTGGTTAATTATTATAACTAAATAGATATTTTAATACTTCGAAAACAACTTCACTAATAATTAACATTTATTATAAATGTTATCATTCGCAAAACGAATTGAATATTGCATCAGTTGTACGCAACTTAATTTATTATAATTATATAATGTTATTATAATGATTGAAATAGGTTAGAATAGGGAGATATTTTTTTTTTTAGCTTTAATAACATTAGTACAATGATGATAAATGGATACTTAAATACAAAAATACGGAATATTACTAATACAGGCATTGATAAAATAATGAAAAAAATACAGAATTGGAGAATAAAATTGAAAAATATCAAAAAGAGAAAACAACTAATTCTGGAAACATCAGATAGAAAAAGATAGGATGACATACCGAAAGGTAGATAAAAAATCGCACCTCACTTGTTAAGTATATATTTAGATAGATTGTATGTGGCGAAGTCTTAGTATCATATACTGTTTCTACATAACTGTCCTATTTATGATGTTGTATTTTTCTGTCCTGAAGAGGTTTAAAAGACTTTTTAATTATTTCTCTAATTAATTAATAATTAGGGATTATTTTGGAATCTTCCATTCATATTCTACCTAAAGCTATATCATTATTTTTTTCTGAATTTCATTCACCGCTTTAGAACTTATGTTCTACCCAGATATCTTTTATTAGGACTATTCATGGTAGAAAACTGTTTTTACATATTTCCGTAATTAATTAGTTGCATAGGTATATTAAATTCAAACCCCAATTGTATGATATTAGACTTGATAAGAGGGTCTTTGTAATTTAATGAACACTAGTAAATATATTTTTACTGATTATTCCCAGGCTTTGATTCATTTTCATTCATTTTGAACATCAGGTATGCAAAATTTGCTTGCGAAGTAAAAGGTGGATAAAATATATTTTTATAAAAACGCAAATACCGACATACTACTTAAAAAACTGTTAGATTTTTAAACACTGTTCTATTCAATCCTGTAAAATATTCCATTCAATCCCGTCCCACTAGATCCCGTACTTCTGACCTCTATCCACTTCCTCACCGAACTGCTGACAAATCCTTTATAATTCAAGCCGTCTCCATCTGGAATACCATCCCTCCCGATATCCGACATGCCCAATCAGTTTCCTCATTTAAATCTCTGCTTTTTAGGCACCTAATTCTTTCCCAACCCGATTGATTAGAGTAGAGTAGATAAGAGAACTTTTTAAATTCCTCCAAAAATGATTTTGTTTACTTATGTTATTTTATTTTCACATGTTTGTATTATATGTATTTAGTATTTTTGTTTCTGTTTTATTTTTCTTCCAATATTTTAATTTTAATGAGAATAGTAAATATTTAATTTAATTTTATGGCCACACAGGCATTTCCTCTGTATCTATAATTTATCCCAAAGGGACAACAGTTCCAGAATATTAAAAATCTATTTTCATTTTTAATTTTCATAAATAGTCTTGAGCCATTAAACCGCTTTCGAATTCTGTAATTTCATTTCTAAAACCGTGGCTCAGTTTACAAAACTTACCAAACTCTTTACCTATTTGAGAGAAGACATAGATGTCCATCCGAAACAATTATTCTAAACTTTATGGACGTTTTAACACAACGCACACTCCAGTTTATAAAATGCATTAGCAGAGGTGCAGTTGGACGAGTAAGGGAAAACTCGCCACATTTTTTTTTTTTTTTTTTTGCATCCCCCAATACTAGATAAACTGTTTTCTTAATATCTTGTGGATTTCCCTAGAATATTTTCATTTGGCAGGATATAAATTTTTCACTTCTTTTTTTGAATAGTTCTATTGGAAAAAAAAAAAATTAGATTTAGCTGATGTCGCGAATTTTCTTTTACTCATTCCACTGTGCGTCGTACAGTGAATATTATGGAAGTCCCTGCATTACGCGCAACGTTGAGGAGTTTCGAATGAATGAATTCACTCTTTAAAAATCTCCGGTGTTTAAAAGTACAATATCAATACCAATCTTTTGTAGATTGCTTTACGAGCTTACAAGACTCTTGAGGAAGAATCAAACTCGAATGATCATTACGTGGATCTTGCGATTGAGAAGACACTTTTTGTTTGGAAGGATACTTCAATAAGTAGACATTAAACCGCCTGAATGTCATTATTCGCCGCTTATTTGCCTGTATATGATCAAGAGGTTTGATATAGTCAAAAAGTGGACTTGTGGACTTCATTCATATGTTGCGGCAACACACCCAAGATCATGTTTTGACGCTAATGCCAAGAAATTATCTTTTTAATAAAGCCAATATCATGACCATTGATACTATTTTTATTTGACTTTAATGCAGGACATACTTGAATACGTGTATCATCCTGGAACTTGAGTCATGAAGAAAGGGTGAGGATGAGACAGGGGCCTAGGAAGTAGGGTCAGAGCCCCGGTTGTGGTATTGTGTAAATATAGTCGGACCCTTGACTGAGGAAATTATATTGGCTAGTATATCTGGACCGTATGTCGAGCGCCCCTGAATGGATGGTACCCAGTCGGTATCAGTCGCGTACTTTCACTGCGGGGCGTCCGCCTGCTTTTATACAACTTCGTAAGTACCAGCATGATTCCTAGGTTTTACTTCTGAACTAAGTTATAAACTATTTTGATCTATTTCAAAGACGAAAACTACGAATATGTGGATAATATAGATGTGAATCATGTTTAAAAAAAATAATTTTTGCAGGGAAACCATTGATTGAGAAATAGTTAATGTCCTATTATTTTACTTAATGTTTTTTTATTTATTTAAGATATTTAAAACCGTATTAAAAATAAAAATACATCCAGCAAATGTAAACACAGGAATATAACATGAACCCATTTGTAGCACCCTAAGAATGCATTTACAATATTTACTAATAAATCTTAAATATCTGAAATTGAATAATGAATAAATATTATGTTAATAAATATACAGATTGCCTCAGTTCTTAATGGACAAACTCTGGAGGATGATTTTAAACAAAATTTCCAAATTTCCAAAAAAAAAAGTTGATTTGATATATGGGCCGTTCCCGAACGGATAAGGAGTTAGGACTATTTTTTTTTTTTTTTTTAATAAGAAGGAATCGCTAAAGAATTGTTTAGTATAATAAAATTCTAAGTAAATAAATGATTAAATTCTAAAGCAGACAAAATTTTAAGTTCTAAAGTAGACAAAATTTTCTTTGAAAAAATAGTGATTACATTAACGAAGGTCAATGATAACAGGACCTTTTAGGAGGTCTAGTAATGCAAAGCTGATAATTATTTCAGAGTCGGGATTAGTTGCTCGGGTATGGGTATTGTAGCTACAGCTGTACAATCTCCGAATTAGATCTCCTTAACGTCCTTTAAATCATTTACTTTAGTAAATTTAAATCACTGTTTTCTCAAAGAAAATATTGTCTACTTTACGACGTCACTCTTAGAATTTAATTATCGTGAACAGTTTTTGAGCAAATCCAACTGATTCAATAAAAACCATAAAAATCTTTTTAAAAAGAAATGGTTCACAACTGTTTTTCCGTTCGGAATCAGCACATACATCAAATGATTTTTTTTTTTTTTAAATATTGTCTAGAATTACTCCTCCCCCCCCAGACTTTGGTCAGTGTCATTATGTAATGACACTCAGTATATAAATTCCGATTATTCTAGTAAAATATTATTTTCCGATAGTTGAAAAATTTGGATGAATAAATCAGATTAAAAAAAAATTAACAAAGAACAGGTGTTATTTAATGATGTTAGGCATGATTTGCTTATGTTCATAACTTACAAATTTATTTCATTCAGAACCTCTTTTCCATAAATGTTTTCACATTTTATGTTTATTTAACTCCGGATAAATGAATGAGATTGATTTGTATTTTATCATAGATACCCAGGCATTACATCCTTGATCATTAAAAACAAAAAAAAAAAGTTTGATTTGTAGTCTCTAAACATGTGTATAAGCATATCAAGATACTTACTTATAGAATATTGAACGACTTGTACGTTTCGATAAAAATTATAAATTTTTAAGAGCACCTTATGATGAATAGGCTTACAGATGGGATTATTTCCACATTTTTCTAGAAAAATTAATTAGGTTATATATAAAATTTAGTTTGGTTCTAATGAAATTGTTAGAAATTGATTATTTTCCATTGAAATCATTAACAAGGGATTTTTGACATTGAAATTATTAGAAAATTATAAATATTTAAATCAGTAAATAATTAACGATTGAAATAAACATAAAAAAAAAAAAATGACTTCCAGTATTAAGTAACCTGATTATTTTATTTTATTAAAAAAAAAAATCAAATATTACATTAAAAAAAAAAGCATTAAATGGGATCGTCCTGACGTATATATATATATATATATATATATATATATATATATATATATATATATATATATATATATATATATATATATATATATATGTATATTAAATAGCTGTTTGTATTAAATCAACTCCGTTTGTATGTTTAATATTATTTTTAGTAAATATATCTAATGTGAGTCAATCTCTACATTGTTGCCGTTTTTCTAGTCATTTTTGTAACTACATCGTTTTTTCCGAAACGAATACGTTGTGATCAAGGCACTAGAATGATTGCTTATGTTCATAACTTACAAATTTATTTCATTCAGAACCTCTTTTCCATAAATTTTTTCACACTTCAGTTTTCACATTTTCTGTTTATTTAACTCCGGATAAATGAATGAGATTGATTTGTATTTTATCATAGATACCCAGGCATTACATCCTTGATCATTAAAAACAATAAAAATAAATAATATATAACCAACTAAGGAATAAATTTGGAAACCAACTCCACTAAAATTTCTTAGCTCACTTAAAATGTATCTTTAAATTTTCGACACATAAGAAATCTTTTACCTTTTATTGTTATTTGCATATCTATAAAATTTAAAATATCCTTATTGAACTTCTCAAAAACACACTCAACATTCACAAGAAGAATGACAGATGTGTCTGAATATCACATTTCTAAATGCCGTCCATCAAGAAACTGTGTTTCTTTAGAAAGCCACAGAACTAGTCCGATCTCTACCAGTCCGAGGGGGTAATTTCTTTTTTAATGTCGGTTAGCTTTAGTGCTGTAATTAAAGGAAAATGATAATTTCCTTTAATACAAATAATTGAACGACCTACAAGTCACTGTTTCATGACCAGGAAAAATTAATTGTTGGGAAAAAATTGGATTTCAGTTCCTATATCTGCGTTTGCTTTCTATGAAATTAAATACATCGTCCATTTATTGCGAACATTCATTAAGTAACATTTCACAAGATTAAACCATTAAGTACTTTGATGAATCACTCATTTATGAAAACAGAAAATTGTGGATTTAGTGTAATTATATTAGATAAACTAAAAGATGTTTGTCATTTTGTTGCACATTGGTTCTTTTATCTATAAGATCAAAGTTCAAAAAAGCCGACTTTAAACTTTAGCTGTAATGATTGAGTTTTTGTAATTGACGGACGATAAATATTTTATTATATGAATGAGAATTCAAGTCGATTCACTAAAAATAAATAATAAATTAATGAATTACTATTTTTTATTATTATTGAAATTTTTAACTTTATTAAATACAACCAGTAAATGTGAACAAACCAAGAATAATGACATGAATAGACTTGTCGAAATACAACCTAAATATAGGTAGCACTGTCTGAATAGATTTAGGTATGAAGATCCTGAGGCAATCTTGTTTTCAGACACCTAGGAGGATTATCACGAGTAGACGGAAGAAGCAAGGCTGGAAACCAAATTGACATGAATTTAAAATCAAATCAAATTTCAAGTAAAGTACCTTGGTTCGATAGGTTCTTGCTATAGGATTGGTACTTGCTTCGGATAATCCTAAGCTTTCTAGGAAAAGTTATTCGGGGTCTTAAAAGCTTGAAGTATCGCACCATGTAAGTTACAAACTACGTCTCATAGACATAAGCGAGAATCGTTGCAGGCAGATCTATTGAATATTGTTGAACTCTTAATGCTTTTTGAATGAAAAAGTAAAATTGAAGACATGTCAAAGCATCACTTTATCTCAACCTCTGGTCTGAAAAGCGCCCGACCGGATATCTCACTTTTGATTCCACAGTGCATATTCTTCATTCTAATCTCAATAATTTTATCGAAATATTGAGTGTACCTTGTATTGTATTTTATTTTTATTTAAACTTTCCCAGCAGATCACTATGAAAGAATAAATAAGGAAAAAATGTTGCTTTTTTAATTTTAATCTGTAGACAAAAATAAAACAACATATAACAATATTTTTATAAAAAATTTAATTGGATGTATATTTTATATTTTAAACTTATATGAAACCATTTTCTATCTCTATTGTGTTGAAAACTATGATCTTATTTATCAATACCCCGTATAAAAATAATTATTATCCTTTAATTCGTATTAACTTAACCACTAAAATCTTAAAAACGTAATATAAAATCAAATTTATACCATTTTATAAAATTAAATTATAAGCGATATAATTTAATCCAAAAGAACAGAGGACATACAACAACATAGGTGGATAACGTTCTTGCCATTAAATACCGCTGTATGGTTAGAAATTGATAATAGAGGCCATAATAATTTTACATGTTTTACTGTTGCTGTTTTTATTCATGAGTAAATATGAATAGTACACATATATTCCACTCAACTCTGTTAACTATCGAATTTTCGTAACCTAAATAATTAAATATTAATTAATTATAGCACTAGATTAATAAATATCGCGATGAAAATTACGGAGGTTAGCTCACAAAATACAAATGCGGCCTCAAAGGCTGTTTAAATTCATATTAGAAAAATTATTATAAATATAAAAATGATAATAGTAATAAAGGCTTAGCGGATCCACATGTTCGATGCCCATACCACCAATCGCTGTCTACATACTTCCATCGATTGACCGCTGTCCAAACCCAACTACGCCAGATCAGCCTTAACTTGATCCTCCCAGTCGGAACTAGGCATATTAATCATTTGGGAATTCTTTGGTTACCAAACTCAACGATTTTACTCATCCGCGATGTAATCACCTCAAATATACTTACACCTGGGGTATAGCTCACGCAATTCGGCGTTGTGTAATCGTCTAAATTCTCCGGTTGACTCGTTCTTCTTTTGTATGAATATTTTACACAATAATTTATTTTCAGGAGCCGGAAGGCGTTACTTATCCCCTCTGTTATCTTACCTCCCTGTAACCAATGTCCATGTGACAGATTATTAAATATTATTAAATAAATATAAAACTTATTCTTTAAATTAGTATAATTCAACGTTTCGCATTGATAAAGAACCGTAGGAAGGATAATATTTCTATCTATCGGTGACGAGTCTTCGCCTTGTCCACCAGTTTTCTCCAGTCATTTCTGTGCGGCCAACATCCAGCTCCTGACTCTAAATCTATTGTCGTACCATTTGACCATCGCTGTTTTGGTCTCCCCCTCTTCTGATGCCAAAGAGAGGCTTCGTCATGATCATGTTAAGAATTGCTTCGTTCTCCATCAGCCAATCTTCGTCTTTCAAGCTTCATATACAGAACGACATCTTGTTCATTAAAATTTGAGTAAGTTTCGAAGGATAATATTTTTGTTAATTCTATTTGTTTACGGTAGAAAGAAAAATAAAGATGTATAAAATAATATAGTAAAAAAAAATAGTATAGAGTAAAAGTAAATAACCAAGCTTCTATATCTATGCATTAATTAAAGCGGAGACTTTTCTGCGGTTATTTATGGTTAGTGTTTTAGATAGCCGAAAATCTTTTCTCTAATCTAAATCGATGGATCGACAGCCGCATTCACACCTATGGTAGGCCCTCCATATCAGGAGACCACCTACACCAGCCCTTAGGCCAGGTAAAAAACAGGTGTCGCCGGTGGACTGTTAATTCTATTTAAATGTCGGAATAACTAATGACACCCCAGTCTATCCTAACTTATTCCAGAATTGATGGTAACTTATCGCGAGTGCCGGCTCATTATTCGACGACTCCCGTACAAGTTCTTTCGAAAGGACTGCTTCTGTTTCCCTCCCACATCGGCCCCACAAATCATAGGGCGGTGGGGTCCCGTGGTCCGGTCCAATTTGGTAACGCCGCTGATCTATGGAGCTGCTTCCAGATCCAGGCGTCAGGAAATTAGTTGGATATCCTTAAATATTTTGACTCAGTTTTATTAATAGCGGACAAAAAGAATGTTTAAGCATTCATGAGTAGTATATTTTTCTTGTAGCACTGCTAGTATAATTCAGAGTCTATCTCAGTATACATCAATAATTTTATAACGTATTATAAATATAATAACACTATTATGACTAACTTACAAAAGCTGGTCGTAAATCAGACAAAATAATAATTATTAACATCACTTAAAAACTAATATTATTAACAGAAAATATAAAATGTTAACATCACTAGACTATAAATACAATTTATTTTGTAAATATTAACTAGTTGACCCGTCCGAATCATTCGCAAAGAATATAGGAAATGATTCCAACATTTTATTATACGTTGAATTATTTAACTTGCTTAATTTTAATTTTAATTGTTTTAATTTCCTTAATTCATTCGTTCGCTGATCTGAACGAATGAATAAAGGAAATTTAAAAAAATTAAAATTAAAATTAAATTTTAAAATTAAGCAAGTTAAATAATTCAACGTATAATAAGATGGTGGACTCATTTCCTATCTTTTCGGTAATTGTAATCGAACAAGCTAAAGAGAATTATTATAAAACGTCATTCGTAATTTAAACAGAAATCTTTACGAATGATAATAACCCGTATCACAAAATATTCAGGGAATCTCACCGAATAATTTGAGCCAGAGAACTCAAAAACCGATCAAGCGGTTCGCTCAAAAGGAACGCCCTTTTTTTTGGAATTTTGAAAATTTTGGAAAACGCCCAAAGTTTTGGAAATTAATAAAATATAGTTTATTTAATAACGAATCTGGATTTTAAGCTCATTTTTTTTTCATAACGCTCGGGGGATTTCACCGAATTATTTGAGCCATCAAACTCAAAAAACGATCCAGCGGTTATATAAAAACTATGTGATTTATATAACAACAATTTTAATTATTAATCTTCTCCTATAAAACTGTATCATTTGCAGTTACGTCATTGTTCCACCGAATGAACGATATGATTTTTATAAAAAATCAAATCGATGAAAAGTGTTGAAAAGAGTTTTGGAGGTGCCACAATGATACACCCTAATAAATTTTCTGATTATCAATATTTTTTGATAAATGAAAATCGATTGATAAAGTTAATAAAAAGAAATATATCATAGCTGCACATGAAATATAGCTACTAACAAAATACGGTAAGATAAATACGCCTTAAAAATAATCATTTTATAATGTCTTTGTTTCTTGTTAGCCAGTTGAAGAGTTTTTATTGTTTTGTTTTAACCTTGTAAAGAAATGTACGGTTCGCCGATAATTGCCTATAGCTAAGAAGTAAAGTACCAATTGTATTGTGCGGAATTTCGGTATTAACAAAGGAAAGGTACTGTCACAATATAAATCATAATTGTATTTATTGATTCTATGATTGTTCTATAACAATGCTAAAGAAACAAAGCAATGATTCATTAATATAAAATGAAAAAATATTTAAAAAAATATTTCTTTATTTGTTTAAATGATAATTATTTTCACATTCATTATACCGATAAAATAAAATGATGTAATGCATGAGAAGGAAAAATGATCAGAACACGCCACTAGACGATAATTTAAAAAACAAGGAAAAAAAGGTATTGACAGGTAGGTGTATCAGTATATTTTTTATTGATTAGGAAAACGGTAGGTCAGTGAACAGGGCACTGTAATCTTATATTTCGGTCGTGGGTTTTAGCAGTATTGTTGCAGACAATTATTTATTATGTTACATCAGCCGTGGATCGGACCTGGATTTAGAGATCCCTCTGGGGCACATCCAGCCTCTATGAAGTGGGTACGATAAATTAATTAACTTATTAAGGGAAGAAACTTAGCGGTTTAACGTTACTTCAGTCAAATCACATCTCTGCAGTACTGTTGGCTTAGAAACACCACTTCCATACAAAGTACTGAACTCAAGAATCTTAGGTTGAGGAACAGCGCAGACACCATTGTTCATGTCACAAATTAAGCTACCTACAGACAATTTTACAGTAATATTTGTTGATATTTTTCTGGAAACATTTTGTAGGCAGTGCTCAAACTGAGGGTAGTATTCATCCAGCAGATTAAATATGTTCTGTTTGATGATTTATTTCGTCGACCCATCATGAAAAAAAAAAAAACTCCCTATCCAGAATCGTATCCAGTGATCCTTAAGGGGTTGTATAATCATGATCGGCATACAGCACATTTATTTGGTAGTTTAAGATTTCTAAAACTTTTAGACTTTAAATTCAATATAATTATATATAAATTTATAGTAAGCAATTGTTGGATGAATCAGCTGGAATGTTTCAGGTTCAATTTATAACTTATACATAATTCATGGTTGTTTTTTTTTTATTATATGATTCCGAAAATGATTCTGATTTAGATTTTAACTCCCGGCTTGAAATTATAAAATAAATAAATGCGAATAAACGAAGGTATTCAGTAATTAAAATATTAAGGGTATGATTTCCGAGTAAATAATTTTAAGTTTTCAAGGATTATTCGAGTACATATAATAATAAAATGGATTCATCTATGTACATTAAAGGCGTATCTATAGAGACGGGAGGCTTTCGTGCTGGTTCCTATCCTCCTTCCCCAAAATGGTAAAATATAACCATTTCTTTTGGAAAAAATATTTAAAATTATCTCTAAAAGTATTATTTTCCATGAAATTACATTTAACAGGACTTCAAGAATCACTTAAACATCATTTCATAAATATAGTTAGTTTCTTCCAAACTGATCATCGTTATATATCTAAATAAAATAAAAAAAAGTTTTCGGGCTGAAGCCCTCAAAATATAATCATGGATCTGCTGGTGAAGTCCATCGTAATATTTTAGGCCAATACCAGCAAAGTATTGCAGTTATTATATAACGAATGATCAAGCAAAAATTAATCAGAAAATGGATGTTTGGGCAGGCGAAAATTATTTTAGAAATTCAAGAAAAAGAAGTGTAATAAATGTTCTTCGATTCCTCAAGCTTTTACGAAAGCATAAAATAACTGATAACCTTTTTCGTTTTTTTTTATAATTTTGTTTTTCTGAGATAATATTATATTTAACTCTTTAAGGAAACAAGAAACTAGGTCTGAATTATCCGTGAATTACAGATGTTTGTATCCAAATATAAGTTTAGAAATATTAAACCAACTGCTTCACAATTTCACATCACTAATACCCACGACCCAGAAACTATTTCTGAAAATATGCACTTAACAGATTCCGATCCATTTGCACCACGAGATAATAATTCAGTGAATCCGTCATTTACTGTACTTTTTATATGCTATATAGATTGAATACTTTTTTTTTATTTTGGTTCCAGTTGGTTTCCAAACAGACGAATAAAAGAGAATTTTACGATCTGTTTTTGTCCGTTGTTGCATCGAAACTAGACAGACTTAAGAAAAAGCTAAAGATGTGTGGCTGTGGCCAGAGGAATGAGCAATAAAATTAATTCAGGGTGTGAAAGCTGTTGGGTAGGAAATATCAGGTTACCAACCTGATGCAGTGTGTCCAACGAAAGACCCATTCTGCGCTAAAAAAGTTCGGTCGAGGGGGCTCTGCCGGAGACATTTCCGATCAGTTAGGTGCTGGGTCTTTGGTGATAGTTATCTGATTGATGATATTCAAGATAGTTTGGTCCTTATCATCGATCAACGTTAAAGGTTTAGTATCAGCAATATCAAGCAAAAAATAATATATTTTTTTTAAATAGTGAGTTAATCAATGGAGAATATATTCCTAATATGTCACTAAGTTATAACGGCATAGATCTGTAATCAAATAAGAAGAATTGTGGAGCCTGCGTAAAAAGGTAACTAATATCTTGTTCACTGAAAAATCCATGGGAGGAAAAAGTCGGTTTTAGGCTGAATTCCTCTAAAATGGAAAAATATTTGTTTTTCATTGGTCTATAATTGTTTTTGTACGATATAAACTAAATAAGCTAAATATTAAAACAATACTTAAAAAGCTACTAACTGTAAGCGTGTGTCAAGAAAAGATCCTTAAAATCAATGTTGTTCATAAAATTACAATTTTTTTTTGTACAAGCCTTAAGGGACCACTTAAACAACATTTAATAATTTTATTTTTATTTTTTTGTTCTAAAGTAATTAACATTATTAAAGAAAAAAATCGGTCCGGTAGTTTCGGAGAAAATTCGCGGACGGCGAACGGACAAAAAATTTTTTATTCGTTTTTCGAATTCTACATATCCCGAAAGATAAAACATCAAATTTTAAGTTTTTGAATTTTCGGTCGATCACAATGGTTCATTATTAAAAATAATAAACTAAAAAATTAAATCCTCGATCGGCTAGTGATCGTAGTTAAAGTTTTTGAGGAGCTTTATGAAACAAGCCGTTACGATAATACTCGTAGATTACGAAAATGGCAGGATAGGATTTAAGTATTCTTCATTTAGGAGAATGATTTTGAATAAAGCTTAAGTACGGAGAATCAGAAGCGACTAGATGGGTGGATCAAGACGTGCAATAACAATTTTTGAGAGAGGCTTTTTTTGTTATTTTGTTTTTTAATTTTTTAAGGAACATATTTTGACGGGGTTATGAATTTTTGTAGGTAACCTTTACATCATTCGATCTGTGAACATAGTTTTATGTTCGAATTCTATACCGGAACGACAATACTTCGAGATGGGAGTGCGTGAAACAGTAATCAAGTTCCTAATATTTAGTTTGATTTATTTTAATATTTAATCAAATAAAATTATTATTATTAACGAAATCTCGTTTTCCATATTACATAGAAATAAAAAAGTTATAGGGATAAAATTACATATATTTTTAATTTTGCAGTAAAATTTATATGTATTTTTTAAAATAAATAATTCTGTTTTATTTTTTTTAGTTATGTTTTAAATGTACAGTTTCATCGTTTTTATTAACCTTTGAACTGAAACTTTACCAAACGTCCAGATGCGCTCGCATATATAACAAAACATCGTTATTGGCTCTAAGAGGATTAAGAACTTAATGTTTATCAAAAAATTGTCACAACACAATTTTTTTTTAATTATAGGTTAATTGTGAGTCATAAATTAAAATTTAATTAATAACATCACGGCACATTAATGCGCACACCTAATAACGCAGGTGCTTGAGTCAGTAATGAGTAACTGCAAGCACGCTTTGGCGCCAAACTGCAAACATTGGCATTCAAGTGGTTTCTGAAACGTTGCGTAAAGTTGGAATTGATACAATAACGAACTATATAAAAACAATTACTTATTGACCAATCTGTTTATTTAATAACAATATCAGAAGTGAAAATGCACAGAGTTATTACGTTGAATTGATTTGTTTGTAGTTTATAGATAAGGATCGATGTGGACGGAAATTACCCGACATTGTATATTGAAAATCTTCAAGATTTTTTTTTTTATCTTAACAGGTTTTTATGATTTAATATAAGGTGGGATCGTTCAATTATTTAAAAAAAATAGGGTAAATATCATCAATTCATTTTAATAAAAATTAAAAACATTCGATTTAAATGACTGATTTAGAACGAAAAAAACATTTGTTTAAAGATATAATGTTTTTACATTCCTAATAGAAATAAGTGTTTCGTTTTGAGAGTTAATTTTATAGCAGTGCGCTACTGAGTAAATAAATTCTGCCATATATTACTAGTTATTTGGTTTTTGATTAAACAGCCTTTTGTTATCATAATAATACTTGAAAAATAAATAATTAGTCATACGTTATTATTTCGTTGTATTCATTATTCTTCCAAATAGTATTTAAAGTTTGAAAACATTCAATTTTATCTTTTTATTCAATTATTGACAGGAATGGTTTATGAACGCGATAGAAAATTGAGCTTTTACATTTTCACCAACAAAATTTATGAAATTACAGGCAGTTACATTAATTTTATTTTAAAGAATGCTAGCTAATAATAAAAATCCATTGATATCTTGTTGAAACAGCAGTGATAAAAAAGTAATAAGTAAATTCCTCATGTTTAAAAAATAATCTTACATTATGATCCATTGGGTTAAAAATAACTTTTGTTATTTATTGTTTATGATTGCATTTAAAATTTATCGGCAGACACGTAGTATAAGCAAACTTTAGATTTTTAGCAACCGTTTCCTGTTCAATTTTTATAACATGCTTAGGAGGAAGTTGTATGTTTCAAATATTTGTCGTATTTTGTATAAGCGTAACTGGAAAAACTATAAACTTTTGTAGCATTGGTGTTAATATATAATAATTTGTATTAATAATTAAAAAAAAAATAAAGCGATAATTAGTGAATCTCCGATCGATGAGAAATAGAAACATGATTTATATATTTTTTTTTATTAGTTGAAAATTAATACATTCTGCGACATTGGAGAACATTAATAATAAAGACAATGAAGAAAAATAATGTTAGAAAATAACATAAAGAAAATTAATAAACATATGTAAAAAAAAAATAGAATAATAGATAGAAACTAAATGAAATTAAAATAGATAAAACTCATTCATTCCTATAGAGACATGAATGAAGGCTGATGATTGATTGAGTGATGCATGATTGATTTACTACTCATAAATTTAGTCAAACAATATTTATTATCTCCATTTCTTGGCCATCACATTTTGGAGTGAATTTAGTTTTTGTGAAATACAGAATCTTAATTCTGATATCATAACTGAAAAGTGTAGTTTTAATCACCATTGATGTAAATTAAAGACTTAACATTAATCTAATTGTTTCGCACCTACATAATGAGATAGATTTTATATATTGTGCAAGTTACTTCATCTTTTATGAATCAAATCAAAGTAATCGTGTTAGAAATTACAAGAAAACTCTGTTTGTTTTTTTTAATAGTGATGTAAACATTTATCAGGTGTTCCGATTTTGTAATATTAGACAAGTAGATAAGGATTCTCGCTATAAACCGGAGTTATGTTACATCACACTGTGATTTTTTTTAAATAAATATCCCCCATATTAATAATTTTTATAAACGATCATTCATTAATTGTATTTAAGCATTATTATCTTCAAATTAAATCGAATTTCTAAGTGTAAAATAATAAACATAAAATGTTTATAATTATATAACTATTTTTCAAAACTATATAATGATCTAATGAGCATCTTAGTTTCAGACCTATCAATTTATAAAAAAAAATATTATAACTATTTTAAAAAGAAAAGTAAATGTAAACTATGATTTAACGACGCGGCCCAGAATTGTAGAGAAATTACGCATTGGGTGGCATTACAACATATTAGATGTTTCAGAGGACAATCTTGTTTTCAGACGCACAGGAGTATTAAAAAAAATCAAAAAGAAAGCTAGGTTATATACTCGGTGGTTTTAATAGGTGTGGAGTTAATTTTGGAAGGATAGCTGTCTGGTCGGTACCAAATCAACGACATGCGAAACATTAAGTAAGGATTTTGTATAGTGATAATTCTTTAGAGAGGAAATCTAATTTGTGGAGGCCTGAAGTTAAACCTTTGACTTTAAGTCCAAAGAGAACTAATAAAAATAAAAATTTCCATATGAAAATGAAACGGACTTGAGCATCAGGACATTTTAATGACCCCATCATCCATTCAATGATATTACTATCTCTGGTGCTTTGTTCTGATTTTTAGTGCAAACAACTTGTGTATGTTATAATAATAAAATATATTATTTTGTTGTTCCTATGTTGTAGGTCAAAATGGAAATGTAGTAAATCTTATGTAGTAAATCCTACTTCGTTGTCATACTTTTCGCGTAATGCCGGTCAATTCTGGGTTAAGTATCAACAATCCAGTTGTATGCGATCAAACAAATACACAGAACATAAACTTGAGATTTAGAAAAATAAAATAAAAATTTATAGTTGATTTTATGAAATTCAAGTCGCAATTAGTTATTTTATGCCATCGAAACTTATTTTAAATTATTGAAATTTCACACATGATTAGGCCATAACCATGAGCACAAAAATAAATCAACAAAATATTTTAAACGATGGAATGTGCAACGCCACATGATCAAACAATCATGTGATTAGAACGCGACATCCAGACCAATCTATAGGCCCCAGGACGGTCATCATCCATTTAACAGTGCAGTCTGGACGATTGCAAGGAATTAGCATGTCTTTTGCACATCCTGGATGAGCTCTAGGCACAATCAAACAAACTGCTTTTTACTGGTTTGGTAGTTATCAAAAATAATAAACAAGATTTTATCATTTGTTTTTATTGCTCAACGCTATTAATAATATTATTATTATTATAATCAGAAAAAATATATGTTATTTAAAAGCCTATACCCTTACTTTTGAATACCATTAACTGCATTTTCATAAGAGCTTGCTAAAGATTTTATTTTTAATGTTAATTATTTGCGTGTGTAATATAAATGTTATTACTTGTTTGTGATGGGATCTACCAAAATAAATTTTATGTATATGTATATAAAATAATACATCATAATTCCGTTCCACAACAACCCACGAAAGCTTTTGGGTTCAGTACTTTGTTACGAAGTACTGTTTCAAGACCGACGGTTGTGCAGGGAGGTGATCGGGCCAGGAGAATGCTAAACCGTCAGGTTTCCCTGTTGATTAATTATTTAATTAAGTGTTCCCAATTTTTAGAGGCTGGGTATGGCCAAGGAGGTTCTCTCGATCCCTGTCTAGAAAGGGGTTTCATGAAGTAAGTTGCGCTATCAAAATTTTGAGGGGGGCATATTTTGACGGGGTTTTGAATTTTAGAGGGAGCAAATTTCGACGGGGTTATGAATTTTTGGACTAGAGGACAAGGGCACCAAATGTAATTGTATATGATCTACGATCTTTCTAATTTTACCTTAGCTTCTTCTGTTTTTAAGAATAGGTGAGCAATAAATGCGCCATTGACTTTGGGGGAGATGGGAATTCCTGCCCGACCTCATGGTCGATTCACGTTGATAAAAAATTACTCTATCAGCCGTATTTAAATCCAGGACCTTGAGTGGAACAGTCCAATGATTTACTCCCTGAGCTACTCCGTTCCTTGTGTATGTATATAGTCTGAGCAAATGAACTTTTTCTACATCACAGTATTTTCCATTATTATATATTTTATAGATGGATATGTGAAAGTTATAACTGCTAAAAGGAAACAGCAGTTAAAAAGAGAATGTTGATTAGGAATCCATATGAAGTTTAACTACACGAAGATGTCCAGCAATGTTAATTAACCTTCTTAATTATTTCTAAATCGAACAGGTACAAAAGTCTTGATTACCATGATTGAATATTAACTTTAGTTCTTAAATTTATATCTTCAGCACTATGATTTATCAGTAGGCAATAACTAACCCTTCCTTCCGTTAGATCGATTCGAACGTGTGAATAAAACGAAACCTTCCTTGATTGATTCAATTCGCATCGTTCTCACAAAGAAAAGCTCCGCATATGATAAGCCAACGAAAAAAAAAAGTTGGGAATCCTATAAGATGGATTGGAAAGCAAATCGATCAAGCAGAGGTGCCGGAGTTATGAGGAGAGGAGGAAGTGCAGACAGAGGACAAATGCACCTCCTAGATCGTGCGATAGGGGGGATATGGACTGGAAACAGAGATAGCTGCCCTCTAGATCATCCTATAAGCTGTAAAGCTGTATACAGGAGGCTCCGGTTGGTAGCACTGACACCGAACTTGGTAACAATATATTAGATAACTGTTATTATAATTAGTTAGAATAGGAATTGTCAAAAATTAAAGAAATGAGGTTTCCTTTTTGTTGATTTGGTGTACACTTTTAACTTGGTAAAACACCTAAATTATTTCCTAAAAGGCATTTCGCCGAACGAACACGGTTTAAATCTCAACAGAGGAGAAGGGGTGGAATAGCCTAGCGTGCTAAAGCGTTTGTAATAAACGAGTAGTCTGGGTAACCTGATAACTTAAAGGTTACGAGTTCCTGGTGCCGAGGGTATATAACTGTGGAAGAAATTCCCCACCCTCATCACTGACCCGGTGAAAACCCGTATAGTCGAAATTCATGGAATGATAAAGTCAAATTATAGATGATTGAGGGATTTTTAAATATTACATCTACATGTTGACTGGCCATTTCTCGAAAATGGCATAAGTTCTGTTTCTAAGTATTTATTAAAAACTATATGCAGTATGAAAAAAAACATTTGTTTAATTAAATGGCCAATATTATCTCTAAACATTTCCAGGACACTTGGTATGGATTACCTTATGTTGTTGAATTACTGAATTAAATTTCTGGAAACTTCAACACTAAGTGAACTCATATTTGCCCAAACACTTTTTTGTTGTCATTATCAGCAAAGGTATGCTTACATGTGTGTCCTCAATAATTTAATCCATTCCTCTGAATAAAACATTTTTGAATATGTCATCGATTAAATGAGTAAATATGGAGTACCACATTTGCGACACGTAGAATCCATTTGCATTGTAGTCCACATGATGTAAAGTTGATAAACCTTTTTCAATATTATTGTGTTTTGTATTTAAATTTTTAAATGTTTTCCTTTGACTAATTAGTTATATTGAAGTGAATATGCGTCTTAATATTTAAAATTAATTCAAAGATCTTAAGATTAATATTCTATTTAAATCTCCAGTCCACGTTGGTTGGATGTTGGATTTCAAAATTTCTTGCTATTGTATGAATAGGAATATCCAATTATTGTATACCACTTATCTTTGTTGTCCAAATGATACTCTCATTCAAATAAAAAAATTGTAATCGACAAATAATTTGAGGAATCATCAAAGAACATTTTCCTAACTGAAGATAGAATATTTATTAACATTGAATATTTAATAGTTGACCGTTGCATTATAAAGGAAGAAGATGGTCCGGGGTTGCGGTCATAAATAGGCTAAATAGTGGTAAAACTATTTTATTGAAAGCCGACGTTTCGACCCGACTTTGCAGGTCTTCATCAGGGAGGTGTGTTCATCTAGGAGTTTCACTTAGAACTGATGAAGACCTGCAAAGTCGGGTCGAAACGTCGGCTTTCAATAAAATAGTTTTACCACTATTTAGCCTGTTTATGACCGCCACCCCGGACCATCTTCCTTTTTAATAATTATTAACATCCGACGGCCTCTATCACGAGAATCAGTTGCCTGCCCCCAGAAAACAAATATGTTACATATTTATTTGTATGTCTGCTCACCACAGCAATGTTCCCAGGCATGCCTAATAATGAGAAAGTAAAAAGATAGGCCCACGAATGTCGGGAAAAAAAATTAAGGTATACTGTGCTCGAATTTCTGTCATTTTGGAAAAATGGATCTGATCCGATTTTAAGTAATATAATGTCTGCTCCAATTTAAAAATTGTTCTGGTAAGGGTAAGAAAATAATATTTGTTTACTCTCGACCGAGAATCAGCTGATATTCCATGTAATATTTCACACGAGGAATCAAATTGAGATATCTGTTCTTAGGAATCGCAGAACTGGGATATCCATCATACGGTATCATACAACAAGACTATTCATTATGGTCATATTTCATCTTTAGTAAGCAGAAAGTTTATCTCGTGAATGTCATACGTTGAGTTGTATACTCCATACGGTTCTGCTAATGAATATTAATTGTAGGTTTGTCGAATAGGAACATAAAAACAAATAATAAATAAAATATTTCAGATTTCAAACCGAAAAATTCCTCATTTCCACTGAAAAAAGAAAGAGGATCTAATAAAACATAATTAAGGAAGATTTGAGTAGGATAAAATTATTTATTGTAATTTAGATTTAATTATTTTAAAATTAGTAAAACAATTACAATGCTAAAAAGATCTATTCTGAAAAAAAAGAAAACAAAATCTTATAAATATTGTAAACTGTTTTACATAAAGTAAAACATATTTTGTAACCATATATAATACAACGATAATTCGAATGTATAATACATTCAATTTTTGAAACGAAAAAAAAATGGTTCAGGACAAAAAAAAATGTATCATTATAAAAAATATCTCAACATCGAAATATAAAATTTAGTTACATTGAGCATGTTTGGATTAAACAACTTATCTAATATTTGTTTAGATAAAACAGATCAAAATAAGACTCATTCGAATTCATTCCATCTATAATTAGGTTTCAATGATAAGACATCATTAAATTGGCAAAAAATAAAATTAAAATTATAAATATAAATATGGTTATTTGATAAACTCTAGTTGACTAGACAAAATCAAAGACTCCTTTGACCTCAGATATTGTGCACCACTGCATAGATAACGCTAACGAGATCGAAAACTTGCCATTTATCTACAACGTGATTTTCTTTCTTAAATAAATAATAATAACGATTACTATCGTGCACCATACTCTCTAATTATTTGAATTTAGGCCTTAAAGAATAATATAAAAAGATATATTAATTAAAAGAATAACATAAGTAAACAGTATTTTTTTAAGTAAAAACTAATATTCATAAATCAAAAAATAAATTTTATGTAAGTAGATCATTTTTACAAAGTTCCTTACAAAGCATATTAAATCTGAAATGCATGTTAATAGTCAAGACAGCACTTAATTATAAGTTAGCTGGTTTACGAATGATATTTAAAAATAATTTTTAAAAAGGGGGGGAGGAATCTATATTCATTTCGTAATTATTTTCTTTGAGAATGGTGAGATACTAACAACGATTTTATAGCTGTCATTCAAGAATAATGTTGTATATTAATTCTTCATCTATTGTAAATTTTTATTATGATGTATTACCTATATTTAGTTACTTTATATAACCTAATCTAATTAATATGACTTTGAGGTTATTTATCCCAAGTGTGTCTTGAATTTAAAATGTTAATGGCTATAATTAATTAACTGAAAAAAGGAATTTTTCGAATCTATCATTGTTGTTTTTGGTTTATTATTTTCAATAATGAACCATTGTAATCGAACAAAAAATTCAAAAACTTAATCCACTCTCAAACAAAATTTTTTTGTTCGTCCGCGCATTTTCTCCGAAACTATTGGCCCGATTTCTTTCAAATTCGGAGTTAGTGGATACCCAAGGATGATCCTCCTTCATCGACATTACTATCAGCCTTTTACTTTCAAAATGGCGGCTAAAAAACCTCAGTAGCTATTAGTCTGTGGGCCAGACCCCCTTACCGTGCACCCCCTCCCCCACATCCCTGTAAATTGCATATCGTTGTGTTCCTTGTGACAATTTATTAAAAAAAAGCCAATGTTCCCACAAAAAAAGTGAACGAACTGCCCCAAAATGGCGTCCAAACATGGCGGATTGACGACTTTGACTTTAGTTAGTTTTTTTGTTACTGAGAATCAGCATTTGGCTTAATTTCATTATAGTTGGTCTTTTATTAAAGCTGGATAGTCAGAGAATAATAAAACATGAAAAAATATTAAAAACTAATTGGCTTAGGCATTAAAAAAAATCGGTAAAGTCAATTTTTTTTACAAAAAAATTTTCAAGTTGAAAATCAAGCGTCGTTTGTAATTAAACGGTCAACAATAATGCAAAACGTGCTGAAATAAAACATCTGGAGAATACATTTCTCTTTCTAAAACACTGATTACTTTTTAAAATATTTGAAGTAGTTCCGTATAAAATGTACTTAAGCGGCAGAAAAGCGCTACTGGCGTGGGTGCCTACAGGCCTCTACCACACCACTCAGTACTCATAAATGGCTTAGTTATAGTGCTATAATAACGTTTTTGTTATATTTTATTGATTATATTAACGAACAAATATTAATACAATAATTTAATTGTAAAAAATTATTTTTTTTTAAATTTATTATTTTTGTTTTTATTTTTCATTATTTTTTTTTTTTAATTTAACTTCATTTATTCTATACGGAGATCGCTTAAGAAGGCCTCTATTATAAAAATTATAAAATTATAATAATAAAACTTAATTCAAAAATACTTTGCAGAATATCTTGATTTTTTTATTTAATATTTGCAATTTAACATTTTGTTTTATATATTTACTGATTCTTAGAGGTAATTTAAATTGTATATACTTCCCTGGAAATGAGTCATATTAATATCTGTTTTATAAACTAAAGTAATATATACCTAATCTGAACTACTTTTAATGAATAGGTGATGGATTGTTTAGTAAAATTCATATATCGCTATTAAAAAAAACATTTTTATTTCCTTTATTTTATTCGGAAGTTGGACCATATCATAAAAAATAGGAACTTTTAATATTAAAGTGCATTATTCCCTCTGCACAAATGAAATATGGAAAGGGCGAAGCTATAAGTTCTTCTATGTAACTGGAACTGATTGTTAGTATTTGGTCTCAAAATGAGGGAAAACGCGAAATTGAACCCAAACATTGGAAAAATACATTAAGCGAACGACAGTGCCAAAATTTCGGAAAAGAAAACAAGGATCAGTATCCATTATATGGCTAAACGAATATATAGTAGACAAATGAACAGAATATTTCAAGATTCTGCTAAATGGGGGTAAAAATGCTTGATCAGTTTGGATGATATTAAGCAGGTTTATTATGGTGAAGACCATTTCATCAGCAAGAAAGGTTTGTTCTAGGCAATTGGCAAGTCAGCTGGTCTGGACGAAGTAACCTGAAATGCTGTGCGTACAAAGGCTACAAATGTATTAGAAAATTATATGAAAGGACTGTAGTTTTGTCTCTTTGCAGGAAATGAGATATTAGGAAAT